CCTGAGGGAACATTTGGCCAAGTCTGGAGACATTTTTGGTTGTCACAATCAGAGAAGGGGTGCTATTGGCATCTAGAGGGAGAGGCCGAGGGTGCTGCTAAACAGCCTGCAGCACACAGCACAGCCCCCATCGTGGCACTGCCTAGGATGTGCTGAGATGTTTAAAGTCCATCTGCCTGGAGTGCCTTTCCCCTCTGGCATACTTGGGGAACCTGATTCATCTTTCAAAATTCAAATATCACTTCTTTCTTGGAGTCTTTGTGATTTCCACCCCTAGCCCTCCATGAAAAATGACACCTTGCTCTTTGGGGCTGTAGAGACTTCTACTGGAGCATGTGTAACACTCAGCACACTTTTGTTTGAAACAGATCTGTCCACGAAACCATCAGCCTCCTTAGGCGAGGACCTTGGCGTTCATGCCTGTATCTCTAGCCCTCCTTAGCCCAACATGGAAGGTGCTTAACCTGCATATATGAAGGAGTAGATGGGGAGCTTAGCAGCATGGGTCTCCTGAGCAATTTGAGGACCAAGACTGGGTCCTACTCCTATCTGTACAAAAGCCTGCCCATAGCCGGTGCTCAGTGAGCTGGTGCTGAGGTTGGGTAAAGGAGAAAGACGACATATTACTTCAAGGGTGAGCTAGGAAATGCTTGGGCTCAAGGGACACAGGGACCTCCAACCGAAACGCCAGTGAAGGCTTCCTGAAAAAGGCCGTTATCTGCCCTGGGCCTCAACAGGCAGGACTTGGCCTTGTGACAGGGCCAGGAGAAAAATACGCCCTGCAGTGAGGGGAAGGCAGGAGCAAGGCATGAGTGCAGGTTCACGAAAGCTGAAGATTCAGAAGGGCCTTGGGTAGTGCGAAGGCTTTTGAACTCTATGTGATAATTCTGGAACTGAGGAGTTCTGAGCAGAAGGGTAACAGGATTAAAACAGTGCTTTGGGACGGTCACTCTGGGGATGGAGTAGCAATGTCTGGAGGGGACCCACTGGAAAGGTGAGGGACCAAGTAGGAGACCACTTGTGGAAGTCAGATGAGAGATGAGGCCTGAGCTAGGGCCATCATGAGGGGAACAAGAGGGCCTGTCACTAAGGGGCAAGACTGGGTGGGAGGGGACCGTGTGGCAGGGGCACAGGTGCCTCTTCTGAGGTAGGAGACATCAGAGGTTTATTGGAAGATGTGGTGGAAATGTTGGCTTGAGGTGCCCAAGAACCTTCCACTGCGGGGGAGCTGTTTGAGCAGACAGTTGCATCTGAGGCTAATGAGGGAATGAAGAAAAGGCTTTGGAAACGGTGTGTTCTGGTGTCAATAGGATGGAGGGCAAAGGCCCTTGACTGAGAGAGAGAGAGAGAGAGAGAGGTGAGATAGAGAATGAGAACGAGAGACACACCATTGTTCAGACCCTGAGAGGCCAAGCAGCACACTTTGCACACTAGGATAGACTCAGGGCAGCCAGGCCAGTGGGGAGGGAGTCTCACAGCTCCCTTCCTGCTCTCACCCTAAATAGCCTCACCAGGACCAGATTCCTGAGAGAGGGAACATATGCTTTTCTGTCTGGAAGCAGCCCAGGAGGGGGCCCCTACCATCATTTCACCCAACTCTGTCACTATAGAACACTCAGAACATTTTTTCAGAACTGGTTTCCAGCAGAGCTTTTATGAACTCGGCCCCTCCCCTTTGGTGTAAGAGCCTCCCAGCTGTCACCAGGAACAGCATGAGCCATTGAGCCTGCGCTGACATCTCATCGCCCTCCCCACAAAAGTGGTCTGCAGTCCATGTATAAAAGTACAAAAAGTATAAAAGCTGTGGTGAAGAGCACAGCATGGTTGAAAACATAGGGGCGCTGGGGCCACCTCCTGGACATCTGTCCACAGCCTCCTCACTTCCCTCCCGTCGGCACCAGCGTCCGAGATGCCCTGCCTGCCCCAATCTGGGCTCTGCAGTTGGCTGTGTGCCAGCTCCCCATTGAAGCAAAGCCTCGGGGCCCCCGCACGTGCCTCTCTGGGCTCCCAGCCATGAAGAAGTCATCTCCAGTCTTCAGAATTGGGAGCGGCCAGGCGAGAGTCGTTCAGCAGCTGGTCCTGGCTCAGCATAGTCTGAAAGGACACAGCCAGAGGCACAGTTGAACAGCTTTGGTCAAAGCCAGCTTGCAGCAGCTACATTGCAAGCAGTGGGGCACTGGTGTCAGATGGGACCAGATCCAGTGCCCAGTGAGTTCATGGTACCCCAGAGACCCCGCATATTGGGTCACAATAGACAGCACTACCAAAATAATAGATGGCTCACACCTTCAAGTTCCTATTTCAAGGCCACCAGAAACCTATTAGAAGTGATAAGGGCAAAGATGCATGGATTCATTTCAGTGTGTGAGCCAAGAAAAAAATAAAAATGATCCCACTTGGATAACTCCCCTCAACCCGTTGTACCCTAGGATACAGCCTTAACATGTCTCGATCAGCAAGCAAAGGATAGGGGCCTCCAAAGGACAAACACTACAGCCAGTGGGCTCAGTGATGGGGAGTTCAGGAACTAACTGGCCCCGGAAAGTATGAGGCCTCAAAAATGTGAGGCTGGACTTCTGTCAGTGCTAGTCTGCNTACCACTGGTCACAAGGTGACCTAATGACAAGTCTCCTTAGCAGTGATATTTCTCAGTTTATATGAATAAATCAGCATCTGTTTGTACATTAGTGTCTTGTGAGTCTGGTCAGTGTGAGTGACTAAGTGTTGACTTCCTCCTGAGTGAACTCATCAACCAAATTTCTTATTCTGCAAAACTAAGGACAGGCAATTGCCCTCTTGGACACTGCCATTTTGCTCTGGGACCAAAGGCTCAGGAAACAAGGGCACTCTGGAAGGGTTCTGAAAGTGCAGGCCCTGGAGCTCTGGTAACTCAGCACCCTTCTGGGGAAGCTTCCATCATGTTGTGGCTGCCTTCTCCAGAGACCTTGGCAGGAAGAGAGCCTGCTCTCTTCAGGCTGTCTCAAGCTCCATATCTCCATTACTAGGAAATGTGTTCTAAAGAGCTGACACAGGGCACTAGAAGTAGGTTCATTTTAGAGGGAACCGGACAGGTGGCAGCCAAGTGGCCCCACAAGCTAGCCCATTAGAAGCTCATTGCTGTGTGAAGCTTCCGCACTTCCTTGTAGGAGAAATGGCCCTCCCTAGAGAGCGTGGCCTGTCACAGGGCTAGCTTCACCCTGAGAGCAGGAAGGGCATTGCAAAGGGGCTGATGGAAACGACAGGCACAATCACGGGATGCTCTCAGCAGCGAGGCGCCACTGGAGGCCACAGGTGAGGTGCAGCCACCTCTCCTGAGACTCCAACCACTGACAAGGTCTTTTCGCAGAGACAATGCCCCAGACCCTTGACCTCTGAGAAGGGAAGCCCCTCTGTGGCCATGGGTTTGGACCCACTGTGGCCACTGCTGGGGCCTGGTTTGCTGCTCTGACAATGGAACAGCAGGTATGCCTAGTACATGCTCCACACACAGAGCCAGTCCCCGCCATGTCAGGAGCCCCCAAAAGGGCCTGAGAGCACAGCAGCTCTGAGGAAATGCTTGGGCCTCCTACCTGGTTTCCAGTGACTTCTGTGGTAGCGGAGGTGGCCCCACTATGGGAGAGCTACATCTTGGAGGCATCTGTACCAGAAACAGAAGAGTCACCGTAGAGGACATCACTGTTTGGAGACCACCCACCATGCTTCCCCCTTCTTTGGACCATTCCTCTTAGAGAGTTACATCTCCATCACAGGGGACAGCCATGGTTGACTACATCAATTCTGGTGCCTTGCTCTTTCAAGATGCCAAGGAGGTAGGTGTAACTGAACAACCTGGGTCAGCGTGCCTCTCCTTCCTGGGCCAAAGCTCTCATCCTTGNATATATATATATATATATATATATATATATATATATATATATATATATATATATATATATATATATTCAGGCAAGTAACATGATACACACACACACATATATATATATATATGTGTGTGTGTATATAAATATATTTATATATATGCATATATACATACATACATATATATATACATATATACATACACACATACATACATATATATATATATATATATATTCTTTGACCTACTGGTTGTTCAGTAGTATGTTTTTCAATCACCCCATACTTGTGAATTTTCCAGTTTTGTTCTTGAAATTTATTTCTAGTTTCATACCATTGTGGAAAAGATGCTTGATATACTTTCCATCTTCTTAAATTTATTAAGATTTGTCTTGTGGTCTAACATATGATTGATCCTTGAGAATGTTCCATGTGTACTTGAGAAAAAAATGTGTATTCTACTGCTATTGGAGGGATTATTCTATAAATGTCTGTTAAGTCCATCTGTTCTAACATATTGTTTAACTCCAGTGTTTCAGAGCTCCACTTCGTGAGGGTGTAATACTGATGTCTGTTGCAATTGCTGACTCTGATTCATGGGGCTTTATCTGTGGTAATCCTGTGCAGCCAGGGTTGTTTCATGGGCAGAGAGGGCGGAACAGTGCCACCAGGCCAGTGGTAAGGCCTGGGCATTGGACTGACTAGAGGTGGGTGACCCAGAGCTGCTGAGCATCTCAGTTTCCTTCCCAGCTCTGAGCCTGGGAAGAGGACCTGAGACCCAGCGCATTTTAGCTGGTTTTTGTTCAAGGCCCATAACCCTTCCCAGTGCCCTGAACAGCTCAAGGCCCAGCAGCAGACCAGTGGAGAAGGCCTCTGGGCCGCTTTCTGCCGCAGCTGGCTCAGGCTCTGACCCCAGTGCCCGGCACCATCCTTTGTTCTCCCCCAGCAGAGGTGCTTAATGACACAGGCTCTGGAGTAGGGACCTCGCCAAACTCATGGGGCCTCCCAGCACCTGTCCTGTGGAGAGAGGGTCAGGGTCCTACCGTGAGGCGGTGAATGTCTTGAGAGAGGAGCCCTATCTGCGTCACAGTGCCTTCCGAAGGTGCCATCTGTAAAATGGGCAGCAGCCCAGTCAGCACATGTGGACTCTGCTCATATTCGCAGAGATGGCATGCAAGTCCCGTCCTGCTCGGGCATGCTTTCTGCAGGTGCGGACAAGGTGTGGGCCAGGCCCTGAGGAGTGACAGGTGCACATGCCGCCTCTGTCCCTGGGGAAGGCAGAGCTTCCGGTATTCCACCCTGCCATGTACATGCTCTCCTGGGTCCCCACTCCGGCACCAACTCTGAGGGTCCACAGGTGCAGGGCACAGACACGGCCCGTCAGAGGCAGCCCATTAGCACACATTCAGGGCTCCAGCGATCTCCAGGAGCAGAGATGGAGGCCTTCAGGATGTGGAATACGCTGATATCTGGCACCAACAGCACTGCAGACGCTGATGCCCAGTATAGGGACAGGTGGGCATCTTGGGGAGCTGCTGATGGAGCTTCCTCACCACCAGGACCTCCCTCCCCTCCTCTCCCACCCCCTTCTCCTCAGGTAATGCTGGCCCACTCCTTCCCTAAGCCTCTTTGGATATTGTGGATTCAGAAGCATCCTCTGAGGGCATCACATATAACCCCTCATTTTACAGGTGGGGAAACGGAAGCCCACAAAGGAAAAGAGGCCTTGCTTGAGGCTGCATAGAGAATTAGTAACTTCATTCCATGCAGAGTCTGAAAACAGGCGCATGCAGGGATTCCCTCTCCGGGATATAAGAACGAAGGGACAGAGCCTGCCCTAACTATGGCTTGACACCTGCAGTGCCCAAGTATCAGCCTTGAAGAGCACCTGTCATGCAGTGGTCCCAGGTACTGGGATTGAACAGCAGCTGTCCATCTCTTACTGGCCGGACTTCAGGGGAGACCGGAGGCCATGGCCTGAGGTTACAAGTAGTTTAAGAAGCAAATCTGAGCATCGCTTCCATCTGGGACAGAATCAGAGTCTTCTCAGTGCTCAGTGGGGTCCTCAGGCCCTGCCCCAGCCACCAGACAGTCACAATGTGGTTGGCACGCTTCTGCAGATCAGGCCCAGGGGACCCAGTGGAGCCAAAGCTGCCCGGGGCAAACTGGAATCTGAGCAGGAGCCCAGACTGGCAAGGCGAGTCTGTCACTCAGTCCTTGGCCAGACAAAGCCCATCTGGAAGACCCATCAGTTAGTCAGCCTCTAAATCAGGAGCACAGGTCTGCAGCAGCGCTGCCAACACAGACAGACCAACCCCCACCATGATTAAGGGCCCAGCTAGGTCAATAGCAGAGACGCTGGCAAAAGAACACATGAAAGAACAGAAAGTCTTCCCAGCAAGGCCGGCTTCTTGTCTCCCCACCAATCCCTTCACTAGGTGGCCCACGCCGCTGAAACGGAACTGAACTTTGGGGTCTACATGACAGATGTGACCTGCAGTCAGGAAGCATGTGAGACACGAGGTTCCCCCTCAGCTTCACAGAGGGCGGAGGCCCTGAAGCCACAGGCCACAGACCTCCTATGAAGGATATAGGGTGGGTGGATCCCTCCTTACTCATCCCCCTCGTTCACCACGCTTGGCAGGTCCTGAGTGTGTACCCGGCTGAGGACCTGACTCACTGTCGTTGGTTTTCAAGCTGTGCAGTAAGCAGGCCTCCATTTCCAGGTGTGCTCAGCTCTCTTTCCCCAACAAGATTAAAAATGTACTGTTTGCTTTCTACATAAATACTGTTTTTATTATCAGAAAGAAGCAGCCACCTCTGTAGTAAGGCACAACACAGTTACATTGTCACTGTGGCAGAAAACCCTGCTGCTGTCCCTTTGATCTCAGCCAAGGCTCTGTGGCCACAGGCCTAAGGCACTTGAGATTGCCCCTCAACTGAAGCGCAGTGGAGGGGCCTGAGAGCCAAACCTCTGACGATTGTCCATGGTCTCTGGACTTGTGTCCAAGCTCGTGTGTTTCCATGGGGTCTGAAGATGGACTTTAAGAATTACTAAAAATGTACAAGCATCTTAAGTGTCTTTCCTCCTGAATCCACCTTTGGCAACAGTCCCCAAAGCTTGGCCCCCTAGCAAAGGTGCAACTCCATACCCTGGCCACCCTCAGGGCTCGAAAAAAGACTGGCCCAGCAGTGCACAATTGCTGGATTGTTCTCTGTGACTCATGCACATATGCGAGGGGTGAGATGCAGTTATATGGTGACACACACGGTGTTACTGTGAGCTCTTAGGGTGCACAGAGAAGACAGGTGACAAGGACATCAGCTAGTCTGTCCCACCTGGTCCAGCCCATCCACTTCAGATGCATCAAGGGGGCTGAGGCCCCGGTAGCCACTGTAGACCCTGTGACTGTCACTGACATTGTCACTGGGCTCCATCGGGCAAATGTAGTCCGTTGATTCATCGAACTTCTTTTTTCTTATGTTTCCAAAATGTGAAAATCCTAGTTTCCTTGGCTAAAACAAAGCAAATGCAAGATTATGAGAAGACTATCAAGCTGGTGTGCAGCTATGACTGACAATGCATTAAAAGCAGGCCCCTGAGGGAAAAAAATTAGGCAAACTCCTTCTAGAAAATCTCTCTTAACAAAACAGAGCTCCTCTAAGCAAGTTCTATGCTGGGGAAAGATCAACAGATAATTAACCTTGAATAAGAAGAACTGTTCCTCCAAGACTTTATTCCTAAACACATGCCCTGCTGTCCCAAATGTGATGTTGGCATTTCCCCCAAGGACTGGGATTTGAAGAGGACCCGCCTCAGCACCGGAGCTCTCCCTGCCTCCCACGTGCAGCACCTCCTGCTCTAGCAAAGCTACACTGGGCAGCCCTGGGTGGTCTTCTCTCCTGCTCCAGCTTTGCCCAGCAGTGTTCCTGCTTGTGTCCCTCAGACACACTTCCTGTCCCGTTCCCTTGGGGAAGGAGGTCTAAGAAGGACATGGTCTGAGGAAGATGTGGCTCAGGCAGGTCGAACAGGGTTTGTGGGATTCAGACAGCCCCAGTGAATGGTGCTGGTCCTTGGCCCACCTCGGGACCTCGGGATAGCTGTGTGCTAGCCATTCCACAGCATAGGGCAACTGGGGCTAGCTGCCAAGAGGAACACTCCCTGTGTTGGCAGGGCAGCTTTGACCAAGACCCCCCACAGCACCGTGGTGCAAAATTGGGCTTGCAGGAAGTCTAGACTCAGGGACTCATCTGCTTTGCAAAATTAGTCAAGGATGCCTTGAGGTAGAGGACAAGCTCTTAGCCTCCTGAGAATAGATGCTTCCTGCACAGGGGGTCTATATAAAGAAACCTGTACTCTGTTTCTTGGACTAAAGACTGACGGGGAGCTGGCCTAAAAAATTAACAGACAATGAGATCTAACTCCCAAAGCAGAAGCCGAGAGAGCCCCCTTGTCCAGGTGGCATACACTGGTTTGGCTCCAGGCATTAGGTCAGCTGCTGTACAACATGAGGGCCAGAAGGGGGACATCTGTGATCACCCCAGAAAAGGTCTGGCAACTCACCCGGACTTTGGCTGTGGTTGTCAGTGGTGTGTAAGCTGGTGAGGCCATTTTGTCTCGCTTTTCCTGTTCAGCCTCAGGACCAATTAGGGCACTGAATTTGGTAGTTAGGTGACGTCTGAGGAGCGTCTTTTGTGGTGGGATATTGAGAAGCATAGCCAGGGTGTCCCCGGTGAAGCGTGGCTCCAGGATCTAAGATGAAACCAGACAAGCCACCCAGTGACGATTATGATGGCTCTAAGTGATGACATTAAGAAATGTGTCCCCATGGGCCTGAAGTTGCCTCCAGGGCAGGGGCTGATGCTCATCCACTTGTTGTGTGTCCCACTCCACTCTCTACTTGGCACAGGCCTGGCTCTGAGCAGACACTAGCACATTTTTTGACTGACCACCTCATTTTCATAGACTAGCAGAGAACTGTGATGTCTTAGATAAGGCTAGCTCCCAGCGTCCACTCTGGACGACATCCAAGCCACCCCCCTTCCTCATTTCCCTGCTGGCTTTGCCACTTGACAGATCTGAGTGATGATAAGGATTGTATCGTGGCAAGCAGGATGTTACATTTTGGTGGCCTCCCCCTCACTTTCCCATCCCCCATGTTCCTCTTGGAGGAGGTGGACTTCAGGGCTGATTCTCACACAACCCCTTTGTCCTGGAATCTTCTCGGTCTGTGGCTAGGGAAATCCTTCCAGAAGCCATTTTGTTTCTATTAGGTATATTAATTCTCAACTATAAATTACCAAAATACGTTGAGACTTCAACTTATATAAGGATTTCAGATGAAATATCAATTTTTCATATGTTTAGCCTTTAAATCAGTTTCTGAATAGCCCCGTTTGCACCGAGGCAGGTGAGCTGTCCAAAGAGCCACTCACAATGAGACCTCCATGGACGCCACTCCCACGAAGGTTGGGCGCATACTCTGCTAGGTCCACAGATCGTAACCACTCCATTACCCTGTGGTTGGACCACTGCACAACTTCTGAAGGAGAAAGGTTACTCTGTGAAGGGAAAAGAAGAGTGAAGAAGTTAGGTCTAATAGGCCCTACCATGGTCCTCCATGGAGCCAGCCCCTGGGGAGAAGCCTGCCTCAGATGCCTCACCCAAATGCGACCCTCACCCCTACGTGACCAGCCAGACCGAAGGCCTGAGAGCCTTCTCAGTTTCCAAGAAATGGAGGTCTTATGGAATCTTGCAGGGTCTTCTGCACTGAGATATCCGATTCCAGAATCCTGTTACTCCCCAATTCTCTGGTTAACTTTGGGACTAATAGTCCCAAAAGGCATATAGTCATTCATTCAGTGATTCAACAGAACTTTAAAGAGGACTATCAATTATGAGCTGAGTGTTTTATAGATAAAAAAATCTCCCTGGTGTGGCCAAATACTTTAGGTGAGCACAAATTGATATACTTGTGCCTAAATGCCCTCAAGTGGCATCTGGGTCGTCAAACTCCCCAGCACTGTGCTTGACATATAGAAGGCATTCAAAATATATTTGTTGACTAGGGAGAAAATAGATGATGGAAGGTAGAGGTAGGAGTTTTTCGTCCCTCAGGAAGCTGAGTTAATCTTACGGTTGGGTCAGACTTAGTTCCCAGGGACACAGGAGACAGGGTGCGACTGAGAGCCTGTCAGCTTTAGGGCCCACCAAGAACTCTGAGGTTCATGGAACAATATCAGGGACTTCTCCAGTATTTGGGCTGCTGTGTTTACCTACACTATTTCTTCTCTAGCGAAACCTGTGCACCTGGGACCGGAGGCTAGCTAACTTCATACCTACCCATGGGAGATCTATTCCAAAATGTCTGGTTCCTTACGGGCTCCTCGTCTCCTCTCCTCTGCCTCCTTTGACACCTGTCTCTCCATTTTGTCTTTCCCCTCCCTCTCCTTTGCACCATTTCCTCATCTCCTTTAATCATTATGATAGCTTTGAAAGACTTGCTGCTACCATCCTCTGGCCCACAGCATCTGTCTCCACCAAGGAAGGTGGGAGGTTAGAGGTCTAATGGCTGCTGCGAGACATAAAGTATAGGTCATGGGGTGTTTGGGGCAGCACGAAGCAGCTGCAAAGGAAAGAGGCCCAAGTGCTGTGGTCTGAAATGCAGCCATTTCATGATGATGTTTTTCTTGTTGTCTCACACCCAATTTTACAGGTGTCCTGGCTCAGGGCTAGCTGGTCCTGGCTCAGGGCTAGCTGGATAGGTAGTGTCCTGCCCTCACCTCATCAGCTGGCCGCCGGTGCAGGCAGTGGGGGTTGAACTTGTTGACATGCAGCACATGAATGGCACATTTGATGCTGAGATGATGTAGTTGGCTGGTGACTTTTAAGAAGAGTAAGTCATTCTGGAAGAGGAAAGTTTTGGTTGATTAACGAGAGTTTTCAAAGTGACAAAAGACTCCTGACGTTCCTTCCCAGACCAAACACAGACAAGTTGGCCACATCTCGGCAGTGCACAGGGACACACCAACAGCTTTTCTTAGCACAGTGGTTCATACTCTGCTACTTAGAACTTTTTATGTGACAAATGACACGATTTTAGGACCTTAAGAATATGAGGGAGGTGGTGGAATCAAGTTTGAAATAGCCACCACAGGGGACACCTGAGCCGAGCGTTCACAGGGACAACTGAAATATTGAAAGGAAAAATCCTCACCACAGTTAGGTATTGCAGCATACGTCCATCAACTCTGGATTCATGAAACTGGTCTTTGTATTGGGGCAAGCCAATGTCATCGAGCCAACCTACAGAAACAGGAAGTGACAGGTGTGCAAGGATTCATGAGCATGGGGAGAGTGTGAATGCCAAAAAAATGGGAGGGGCAGTAAATGATCATTTTGGAGTTCTAGCTGTATTCCCAATAAGGTTTAATAATCCATCTGCCTTTCCCAAGGAGACAGCTGTCTTTGAGGCACACATTCATTAGGAAACTGTCTACTCTGAGTAGCTGCCAGAAACATAATACCGTATATGCCTGTCCTTACGTGTCACCCAAATGTGGTCTAGCAGCGCAGACTTCTCCTCCTGCTTGGTGTTGATGGCTTTCACTGCTAAAATCAGCTTCTTCCTATGAAGAGGGTGCTTAATTCCTAGCTCCTGAAATTGAAAGATGACAGGTGTGAAATTTTGGCGGGGAGTTTGGCCCTTGGAGGATGCTATGCCTGGGTGGAGATAGTCCACCTAGGTGGAGTGTGGCAGCCAACCCCTGCACAGTGCCAAGGGATCAACGTGCAGCGACAGAGGGCGTCTGGGCCTCCTCTGTCCATTCTCCTGTGGTGTGTGTGTGTGTGTGGGGGGGCTTACTTCTCCAGGCATTGGTTTGGGGAGAAAGGGAAATCTCACCCAGGGCTCAATCCTTACCTTTTCCATGTCCTGAGGGGTAGCTGTCAGTAAAGTGTGACCAGAAGTCACCCACTGCCTGGCAAAGATCACATACTGAGCCAGGCCGAAGTCCTCCAGCCACACACACACGCGGTCTGTGCTCCACTGGGCAAAGGGGGCATTGGCATCACTGGGAAGCAGGAAAACAGCACATGCATGTTAGTGGGAGGGCCTGAGGCTCCATCTGAATGTAACAGAGCCCCACAAAAAGGGGAACCGTGTTTTAACAAACAACCCCATCATGGGATCTAGTTGAACAAAATTCCACTACAATGCACTCATTTGAGGTAGATTCTAGAGTAGCGGTTCTCAGCCTTCCTAATGCTGCGACCCCTTAATACAGTTCCTCATGTTATGGTGACCCCCAACCATAAAATTATTTTCTTTGCTACTGCTATGAATTGTAATGTAAATATCTTTTTGTTTTCCGATGGTCTTAGGCGACCCCTGTGAAAGGGTCCTTCGACACCCAAAGGGGTCGTGACCCACAGGTTGAGAACCGCTGTTCTAGAGCTTCCTGTGATAACACCTGGCCTGAGTTCCAAGTCTGCAGCTGCTGAGAGCGTGGGGCAGTTACAGGATCCTTGTGAGGCCGTGTGTACGTGCACCCTCATCCACGCACACCTGCACATGTGCCACAAGCCCAGAATTCCTGCCCCATTAGGATGAACACGCACAACTGAATCATGTTTTCAACAGGGTTCAACACTGTTTTTAGAGAAACACTTAGAAAACTGGGAGAAGGTGGGTCAGTTCTCTAACGTTTGGGAAAAAACCCTCCAATCAACAACAGTTAATACATTAATGAAGCACCAGGGCATTCACATCAAAGCCAATAAAAAGACAATACTTTTTATCAATACTAATAACACTGGTCTGAGAGGTGCAGCCAGTATAAGAAGAGATAAAGTAAAAATTAGAAGTATAGCTATTAGAGAGGTAGAAATAAAAGAAAGCTGTTCCTTTCAGATGATACAGCTGCCCACCTAGAAAACCAAAGAGAACTCAGTAACATGGCTAGCTACAAAATACACACACACACATAATATTTATGGCATACACAAATCAACAATTTTCTGTACACCATCAATGCACNAGCAAGAGGAAGGAGGCTGAGTTATTTCAGCATCTCATAACCTCATGGGCCTTCCCCATGAGAAGAACCCTCCAGGATCAAAGCTGTCTGCTGCACAGTGTGGCCACTGTTGCATGTGCACACAGTAGGGTCAGTTTCTGCATTTTTCCAGCGTAGGCTCCTGCAAACCCCAAGTTTGGACACAGTCGCTCCCTACCGGGCCTCAAGGCCTCCCCGTAAGTGTCAGAACCGCCTTTTACCTTAGTGGCCTTCAGCTTCCACTCGTACTGATTCCGTTCATTTTCCAACTCTTCTACCTTGATTTTGAGGTGCCTGAGTTCTTGCAGTAACTCCTAGAGAGATGTGGGAGAAAGACAAAGTTCTGATGGTTACCAAGCAGGATGGTCCCTGGATCTACATCCCTGCTTAAGCTCATGCATGGAGGATGCCAGGGGCTGTGCTCTACGCTGTGGCTCAAATCTTTAACCACAGTCCTTTTTCAGGAAAAGCTGTGTGGCCATTGAAAAACAAAGGCCAGGGAGTTCTTCACATAAGAAAGAGAAAACTTTCTGCTTATTTTTAGAACCTGTTCTGCCTGCCCCTTTCTGACATCCATCCTCTGCAGGGTGTGCCCACATCATGCACAGTTGGGGCAGCACAGGTAGGGCTTTGGAGGGAGAGGAACAGAGATGTGGAAATGCGGAAGCTTCTTACAAAGGAACAGGAAACAGGTTAATTGGGAGCATCTCTTCATGCAGAAGAACACAGAGGAGGGGTGGGTGATCCTGAAAGGCTTCNAGTCCTGCCGAGAGAGTCCTAGACCCGAATCCCTGTGCTCTTGCTGTTCCGGCTCTTTCTGAGCTTGGTCCTTCAGCTTTTCCTTTCATTCAGTGAGCCGCCGCACACCCTTTCCGAAACACTGCTTTGGGGCATAGGTGAGCCAGAGTCGGTTTCTGTTGCTTGTAACGAGCAACTCTGGAATTGATATAGTCACTCAACAAACATGAGCAGCATCTACTGCCTGCCAGGCCCTGTGCTAGGTGTGGGGCGAGCACTCCTCACATCAGGGAGGCACATAAGTCAATTAGGATAAACGATCAACGTAACATGTCCTTATAGTACCAATGCCCATAACACAACATGGGGATAGAGGGGAGGGAGGCACTCTCTCGCTGGTGAGAAGGTTAGGAAGGCTTTGGAGGGAAGAACCATTGAGCTAACTCTTGAGAAATGAGAATGGGCTTGACAAGAAAGCAAGGAAGGAACGTGCACCCCAGGCGGCACGAACATGAGCTAAGGGCAGTGCATAAGGACACCGTCCCACGTCTTCAGTCCTGCACTGACTGCAAAGACCACCTCTTTTCTCCACAGTCCAGTACCTTTTTGGCCTACTATAGAAAGAACCCTGGCAATATAGCACAGTTGTTAAAAGCCTGGGCTTTTTGGTCAGATAAACCTGGGTTCAAGTCGAGGTCCTGTCATCTACTTGCTGTATGACCTAGAACAGGTTACTTGGTCTCTCTCAGCCTCAGCCTCACCACAATAAAATAAGGGTCCCAATGGGGTGTCATGAGGAGGAAATGAGGTGAGCCATGTACAGTGCTCAGAGGTACTGCTATTTTATGATTGCCAGCAATCTGAAATGCTTGCTCTGACCAGGTAACCAGGTCACTGGGTAATACTTGTGCTCCGCCCTTAATTAAAAAGGGTTGAGCTTGGCCACTAAGATNACCTCTGGGCGCTCTGGGACATCTAGCCCCCATCCCCCACTCCACCCTGGCCAGCATTTCACACAGTTCTTTGTGGATGGACCAAAGGGAGGCTTACCTTTTCTGACCCTTGGGGTCTCTGGTCCTAGAGAGTCTGGGCCCTGCAGTCGCTCGGAGCCCACCTCGTCGAAACTCCGCCACCCCCAGTGCATCGGTGTTGAAATTTCCTGACTGAGTTCTTCGGATCCTGTGTGGAAGACAGGCATCCATGGAGACTGTCAGGGGATAGCCTGACAGCATGGAGTCAGGGCACCCCTCCTACTCAAGGCCACACAAGCCAGACCCAGGACCCTCACTGACACTGCTTCCCAGTGCCCCCTGGGGAGGGGTCAAGGATCATGGCCCATGACCCAAGCCTCAATTCTAATCCTGCCTCTGGGGTTTGTGCCACTCCCCGTGGGGGTATAAGTGAAATGTGGTGCCTGGTAGGAGACCCCAGTTTCTGCCTCATTTCACAGACTGGGCTAGCAAGTAGCCAGCGTTCTATCTTCAAAGATTTCTTAAGATACAGACTGACCCCTAACAAAGAAGAAATTGGTCTCACCCAAGTGTCTCTCCCAAAGCACATGTGACTGAGCTGCGGAGAACGTGCTCAGGGTATGTGGGATGGATGGGTGTCTTGAACAAATGACGTTAATGCAGCTGGCTGTATTTAATAGGTACCTTTCTTAGTTCTCCTTCTCGGGACCCTAAAATAAATCACTCAGATTCTTCTCTCTAAACATGACCACTCTGTTTTTACTGCTCTGTTCCAACATCTAATTGAACAGGGGTTTATGGAAACTCTTTGCCCAGTCAAAACGGATATTAATTCCAAGCAATATAATTACAATAATCACCACCAACTTACTTGCCCCAGAATTTCCTGATGCCTTTGGGACTCCGTTTACCATCTGGTGTCAGGGGAGGCTGTGGGCCCGACTCAGTACCAGATGATGTGGATGAGAGGTCATTGGCCATAGTAGTGTCATCCCAGCCACTTTCTGTGTCTCCTGAGATTGAAAGAATATAATGATGTGTGAATGAGAGGAAGGGATATGACCTTTACAAACACTCTCCCCCAAGCCTGGGTCACTGTTCAGTGGAAGTTGGGAAGAGTCTGCCCAGCTCTGCCACCAAGATCTCAGTAGGGGGCTCAAGCACACTCCAGGTTTTCTCTCTGGGGAATTAGTGAGCTTAAGGTTCCAAACCTGGGTGAGCTAATGTCTTCAAATTCTAAGAATTTGGGGTCCAAGTACTTGCAGGTAACTCCAACAAGGAGCCTGCTCTTTTTCCAAAGGGAGATTCGAGAATGCAGGCAGGAGGGGGACCTGGCTGAGTGATCAGGAAGGGGTATCAGGATAGGGAAACAGGGCATCTCACTCTCCACCTCACCTGGAAGGGTACAGTACCTAATACGGGGGCACTGACACTCCGGCCACGATCTCCAGCCAACCAAGAAGCAGAGAAGCCACATGAAGAAGCAAGAGAGGCCCAAGTCCAGCCCACCAGAGTTATAGGGAAGCAAAGAAATAAACAAGAGAGTCATCGAGCAAGAGAGAAAAACTCAAACAGAAAAAAAAAAAATCCCACAGGGGAGGAAGGGGTGAATGGTGACTGGGCTTGGCCCACAGGGTCAGCATAGTGAGAGAAGGCCTCATGTGAGGGGACCAAATGCTCCTGGAGCCACTTCCTGGCAGATGGGGTGCCCACGCAGGGAGAGCAGCAGGGGCTGAACACACCAGGCCCCACGCAACTTATGTGGTGCCAGAGCTCACTTAGGTCAGACTAGAATGTCCAAAACCACTTCAAGTCCACAGTCTGGGTGTCATCAGGACATACTCATTCAAGGGCTCATCTGGAGTTCTTCTAGCCAAAGGCAGAACTGGCCAAGGACAGAAGCCAGCACATGGGCTGGCACGCAGAACAGCCAGGGATAGGGAATCAGGTGTAAGGAGAGCGCTGCCAGGACTAGAACATTCCCTCCTGGGCCCCATTGATCTGCTGCTGCTATGAGGGAAAGATGGCCTATCACACGTGGGAAATAGCAAAGACCGCCATGGTTTCAGGTCCTAAGTACCAAAAGGATACCTGTGGACTGACATCCTTGCCCACTGGCCACTGACTCCATTTCTCTAAGGAAATGCTCTCCCTTGGAAGAG